TCATCAGACCGTGAACGTTCTGAGCGGTTTCCCCCTCCCCGCGGACCCCCCGCGGACCCCCCTGCCCCTCACCCCCACTCGTAGCCCCATAGAGTAGAACCGGCCTATTATATCTACTAACGTTGGATCAAGAGGATTACATACAAAAAGTCTTAAAGAAATTTAATATGGAAAATTGCAACCCAGCGAAGACTCCATTGGACATGAATAAAAAATTAACAAAGGATATGACACCTAAGGACAATTTGACTGAAGACATTATGGAAGGTATTCCATATAAAGAAGCATTAGGTAGTCTTATGTATGCGTATTTGGCGACTCGTGTAAACTTAGGTTGTGCGATTAGCATGTTAGGTTCATTCGCTGAAAATCCGGGTAAACCCTACTGGAGCGCGTTAAAACGAGTATTGCGTTACTTAAAGAGAACAAAAGATTACAAGCTAAAGTTCAATGACTCTGGACTTATGAAGCTGGTGGGATATGCTGACGCGAATTGGGCCGGTGACATAGACAGTCGGCGTTCTACGAACGATTATGTATTTTTGCTAGGTAATACTGCCGTTTCATGGTGCTCTAAAAGACAGCAAAGTGTGTCACTCTCGACAACGGAATCGGAGTACGTTGCGATAACGCTATCTTGTCAAGAATTGTTGTGGCTAAAAAGCCTACTAAATGATATAAACAGCTCGTGTATCGATGTACCGATAAAGGTCTACTCCGACAGTCAAAGCGCGATAAAGCTTGTTCAATCGAAAAATTTCCATCCTAAGTCTAAGCACATAGCTACTAGTACAATTTTGTAAAAGAGAATGAGGCGAATGGAATTGTTGAGCTTTTATATGTGCCTACCGAAGAAATGTTAGCAGATGCTGTTACTAAACCTGTATCTGGCGAGAAAGGAAAATATTGTAATGATGGGGTACGTTTGTGCGATAACTCGTTTGTCGATATATGTGAAGTTTTTTCTTTTTTCTATTGTTTCGAGCTCGAAAGGGGGAAATGTAGATATATGATCTCGAGACGTTTGCGTTATCTATGCTATAGCAGCGCGACAGTCGGGCACATTGTGTAGATGGCATTATTTTTCGTTTATTGTGTTATAGCGGTGTCCATGCACGCCCCCCAGTGAGAAACAATATGTCGACCCGACGTCGATTCGACGTCGAAAAGTGGGTTCGAAATGGGATCGAAATTGACATCGACATCGATTTCTTTTTGACTCCTATGTCGACCTCCTGTCGATTCAAACTGCGTAATCGATTTGACATCGATCACAAATCGAAATCCTGCCCAAGGAGAACAGAAAGATCAAAA